AGCGTTAGAGATATTAAAGGGTGTGGGGCAGACAGAGGGCATGGTGATTCCACGGTGTGCTGCATACGTGGAACCCCCATGTGGATGTTAAGGGCGGGAGGACGCAGGGACGGGGCCATGGCAGTGTAGACGGGGTGGAGAGGTTTACTTGGGGTGGCAGTGGGACATGGTGCAGGCAAGAGATGAAGTAGGCCAGGCGTGCTGCATCGGCTATGTGGCATCCCCAATGTGAGGAGGGGGCAGGCAGTGTGACATGGCGCCAGTATAGGGTGCAGGCAAGAGATGAGGTAGGTGGTAGGGCAGAACACATGGTGACTCCACGGCGTGCTGCATCGGCTACGTGGAATCCCCAATGTGAGGAGGGGGCAGGGAGGGGGTAAGCGTTAGAGACATTGAGGGTGTGGCGCAGACAGTGGGGCCAGTAGAGGGTGCGAGCAAGAGATGAGGTAGGTGGTAGGGCAGAACGCCTCCACGGCGTGCTGCATCGGCGGGGAACCCTCATGTGCAGGTTTGATTGGGTTTGAGGGGGAGGCGCAAGTAAAGGTGCTGGGGGGCAGAGAGAAGGTATGGTGATGCAAAACACGCATGAGCATTGGGGGGGGGTGCATATAGAAAGCAGGGTCACTCCACAGTCTGCTGCAAGCTAAGATGTGATGGAAGACGTGCTGCGCTCGTTTGGGCCTGGCGTCACAAGTGGAAACGAGCGCGGAGAAGTAGGCCAATCGAGGCTCGGCGAGCAGCCAGCCGCGATGCACCGGGGGGTCTCCAGCGGCGATGTAGAACGATTTTTGTAGAAGCCAAGAGGTGGTTGGAGACTGAATGATGCTAGATTTTGTGTTTGTTTGTGATTGGGAGCAGAAGTGGAATGATTTTGTAGAAGCCAAGAGTCTGCCCTCCTGCCGTCCTCTGCCCGGGCCAAACGTCACTCCTGAACCGAATGAAAAAAATCAAGGGTCTGGCAGGCAATTGTTCCAGGCACACAAAACAAGCCACAAGACACCCTTCAAATCAGGAAAACACCCTGGCACGGCGTGACGAAACAGCCTCCTGCCGTCCCTCTGCCCGGGCCAAACGTCACTCCTGAACCGAAT